TGCCACATTTGCAATCATTTGTTTTTTTCCTTCAGCTGCTGTCGCACAGCTCGGTTTTCAGCTCGGTGTGTTGGCTTTGTTCCACGTTCTGGCCAGGCTTTGGGTTTTGGCTTCTGCTTTAGCCATTGTGACATTTAAGCTATATATCACTCATACGCAGCGTTGGCGCTTCATTTTCATGCACTAATTGCGTTAGAATTTCAATGGAGATTTGTGCTTCAGCTTGTCCCAGCCAGTCCTTGTCCTTGTCCCTGCGCCAGCTCCAGCTCCAGCTTCAGCTCCAGCTCCAGTTCCAGTTCCAGTTCCAGTTCCCGTTCCAGCTCCAGTTGCTGGTCTCTTAACCCGCTTTGATTTGACTTTGGTCACATGCAGATTTTTGCTCTTCTTCTCTTTTATTTTTTTTTTAATTGGAACTCGCTCGCAGCTCGATTCCCATTGCTGATAATCGAAGCCGGTCGGGCGGTGGGCGTGGCTCTGCGCACTGATTTTTGTTTCATCTCTGTGTGTGTTAGTGTGTTGGTTTTTTTTTTCTCATTCTGATTCTCTCAACGGGAAGCCAGGGTTGCTAACTGCCATTTGTAACAGTTTTTTTTTTCTGCCTTGCAACCTTTTTTTTTCCTCTTTTATTTTTTGTGTACATAAACCCAAGTCCAAGTTTCTCTTTGCCCCGTTGTGACCTGGCCATTAGAGTGTCAGTCGACGTCGACGTTGACGTCGGCAACGTAATTAAAAACAAGAAATGCTAAACAAGAAAAAAAATCATACACAACTAGAAAATTACAAAACAAGAAAAAGACGAAGAAGGGAAGAAGAAGCAGAGGGAGGAAAAATTGTGCCAAGAAACTGGGCGAGTCCTTCGAGCTGGCATCTTGGGCCGAGAGGCCCGTAAATTTATTTAAATTTTGTGCGTCGAACTCTTTTTTTTTTAACGTTGATTTTGCCACATTTTTTGTTTGTTTTTTTTCTTTGGAGAGTACTCTAGCGTAGATAAGGGTAGATTGCATTGGTAACTAGATTTGTGGCAGAATTAGAGAAGGGAATAGCTGAAAAATTGAGGGGAGAGGATATATAGTTGAATGGATATTTTTTTAAAATAAAGTAT